TTTTTTTTATTAGCATCTTAATCATCATCTGGAAAGAGAACATTCTAGAGTAATATCATTAAATGTAGCTCTGATAAAGCACGGTCCCTACTATGTATCATAAAGCAGGTACAAGATATTTTACATTCATAGAGGTATGATACAGTACCGTCCTACATCAATAATACTAGAATCAGTTTTGGTTTGAAATTTACTTTGTCTGCAAATAAGATTGCTACCCCTGTTTTTTTCTGGGCTCCTTTCACATGGAGAATTATTCTCTATCTTTTCACTTTCAGTCTATGGGCTTCTTTTTGCACTAGGTGTGTTTCTTGTATACAACATATTGTTGGATTTTGCTTCTTATTCCATTTTGCCAGTCTATTTCTCTTGATTGGTGAGTTGAGGCCATTGACATTGCTGGTTATAACTGATATGTACTGACTTATTGACATATAACAAAATTTTTTCACAGGTGAGACAACTGAGGCCAGCAAAGTTGTGTTTTGCTCCAGGTCACACAGCTAACCAGCTGTAGGCCTGGGACTAGGGCTTATGAGTTCTGGACTCTTTATAGTGGGCAGATTTCAGCCACCCACCTTCTTGAATGCCATAGCTCACCATCTATTTGACTCTACCTAGCTCTACAACATTTTTGTCTTTGCCCCTACTGCCACCTTCCTTCTAAACCTGGAGCCTAGGTTTAAGAAAACCATGATCCCTGAAGACAAAGTCACACATGGGGCGTTTTGAATCTTCAAGAAAAGTTATTCTTTCCCTCTTGTGTTAACCCTCCCCACGCCAGAAAGGTTGAAGATGTTAGAAAATAAATAAGTAAAAAGGCCGGTGGCCTCACTTGGGACCGAAATGATGGAGTCCCCGCCCCCTGGTGCAGAAGCGAAGATAGATCAGGAGCCACCTGTCAGAGGGCTGTGGGCGGGGGCCGAAGCCGAGAGGCCCGCAGAACGCGGGGAGCTCATGCTCAGAGCTGACAGCTCCAAGGAGGCAGCATGGGATAGTGTAAGACCCCGGCAGCTGACGGCCAGTGGGAGGTAAAGGTGGTTTCGGAAAGGAGGCCGAGCAACGGGAGGTGGAGGATCCTGGAGGTGACACCAAGGAGTACGCAGCGGCAAAGGGCTGCTGCAGGGCGGGCCCGGAGACTTCGGTGCCGACGCAGGGCGGGCGGGAGAGAGAAAGGGCGAGCCGCGCCAGGGTTGGGGGTGCCATGTCCCGCGAGCGGCCGCCCCGCACTGACATCCCCCGCAACCTGAGCT